ATAAAAGGTTAGGAAGGAAACTCCCGTCAATACTGGAAAGAGCGATAACAGCTACTGGACTTTAGAAACCTATTTTCATGAACAAAATTTTTTTCAGAGAAAGATTTTATAAATTTCAACCTAAAGCAGTACTAGCTGCTTGGTCAATGAATACCGAATGTTTCCATGTTTATTACTCTTACCAAGCGTGGATGATCTAACTATTTAACCAATTAGTGCATCTTGTCTTCTTTTTTTTTTTTTTTTTTAAAGAAAGGGTTAACTAAAATTTAAAATAATGCTAAGATTATCATTAGCCATCAAGATTGCTTGCATGGTTTCCAACCGTTTTACAAGTTACTTAAAGTCATAAAAATTAATTTGAGCTAATAATGGTTTTGTGATACAAATCTTACTAATTAACCCATATATGAGGGGAGAAGAGGTGGATTCATGCCTTCCCAAGGTTCCTTGTGCATAAGTAAATATAACGAACTTGACTGGAATTGGAACTTGGCTCTTCAGTTTCCAATTCAGAGCCATTATATATATATATATATATATATATATAAGTGCGCAGGTATGCAGAAAATAGAAAATAACACGTTGGGTGCATAATCCGGAGTTCCTTCGTAATCTTGTTTTTATTTTTAAGAAGACAGTGCTCCATACAGAAGTAGAGCTTTAAAAATATTATATATATATATATACTCGACTCTCCCGTCTAATTCGACGTATGAGGGTCAAGCAGATCAGTTCCCAGGAAACCAACAGCCCGACAACAGCACATGAGATTTGATTATAGTGGTGAAGGTTTCGTGCAGGACCATCCACACTTTTTGAAGGGCCGAATACAGAGACCTGGTGCACTAAGTGCCACAAGGTCCCCAAACGGCCCTCCTCAGGTTTTGAATTCAGAGTTGTCCTTCTCCTAGACCAGTTGCCATCGAAGGCTATAGAACCCAGTCTGTCCTGCTATTTTACCCATAGCTGGGGGGAGAAGAAGAGGATTCACACCTTTCTCAAGGGTATTAGCACGTAAGTGAATGTAATGGATTCGGCTGGAATTCAATCCAAGCCGCTATCCATTACTCCACCGTGCCTCCTATATATTATGGAATGGACAAAGTCCGACAATTATTTTAAGACATAATTTTTATACATTTTTTTTTTTTTTTTTAAATAGATACAAATATTTAAGTAAAAGTTAAGCTTATAATAAACAGTATTAACAACATTTACCGGCCTGTTACGACTAATAATGCAAGACTCTTCGGTAAATCGAATCGAGTTATTGTGTGTTTATCTAAAAATAAATACACTTAAATTTACCTTTATCCCTGACGTGCGCCGACGGCTTAGGGTAGAATCCTCGACTTACGCCAATTCAGCCGGGTTTCGATCCTAGCTAGTGGCAACTGGACGTCTAGCTACACTGCTGAGCTGTGATAGAGCGAAACTGTCTGTCTGTGGATGCCTATATATATATATAAGACGAGGTAAACTTTTCTTTACCAACGCGTTGAAACTACTGATAGATTTTATCAAAGTAAAAATTCCATCAGAATAAGAAGTATGTTGCTAAAAAAAAAAATTCTTTTTGTCTTTATTCACATTATCTGTTGACAAATATATTTTACTAGCAGTAGAGCCCGGCGTTGCCCGGGGATATAACAGTAAGAGATAGATCAAGTATCGACCATCATAAAGACTGAAAAATAAAATTGACAAAGATTATTGTTTAAGGTTGACGGACACGCATGTCTTAATTAGTTTTTTTTTTTTTTTACGAATTGGTCAAACCCAAACTCAAACAAAAACTTTGTTTTCAATCGTTATGAGTCTACCGATTGAATAGAATTTTATTATAAACAATTGTCTTGTAAATGGAATTTTTAAAGCATTCTGAATGTAAAATAAAGAAAAAAGTGTGCAAGACAATAAGAAACACTACCTGCCAAAAAAGTGAAGTTTTGTTGAAATCGGTAGAAAAATGTAGGAAATCCAATCCAATATATAAACGTACTGACACACACACACAACCTGGATTTTATAATAAGTATGATTTACATCTGAACTTCTACACAAACGAAAACGATATACAAATTTTTATATATCAAGAACTATTTTCGGGAAAGCTGTTAAAAATACTTCATCAGACTCACCTCATTTTTACGCTGATGTAAGTAACACTATCTTTTTAAATAGATTTTTTGAATCCGACATAATTTTTTATTACTGTACACGTAATTTTTAATGGGTACCCGTGTTTGAATCACTCTCCCTTTTTTTATTTCGCTCACTAGTGTTGACTGTTCTAGTTCCATGTTTTAATGGATGTCAGTTGTCAGTTATCTCCTGTTAATTCCCCTCTGAAAGTTCTCCACTGACTTAACCGGGTATTGAACTTACACTCTTTGGGTCCTGTCACGGGATCTAACTAACGCCTTTATCCACTGTACCATGTGTCCTTCAGGCAGTGGAGAACTTTCACAGGGAAATTAACAGGAGACAACTGATAACTGACATCCATTAAAACATGGCACGTGGAACTAGAACCGTATACCCCAGCGAGCGAAATAAAGGGTTCAGTTCGACATTCCAACCACCTGAAGAAGGCCGGTGCGTACAACGGCCGAAACGTTGTAATAAATATGGCGACAAAGATGAGGACAATAGTCCGAATAATGTAAATAGAGTTTAGAATATATATATATATATATATATATATATATAACATTGTTACCAGCAATTTATTTTATGAAATTTCGAGAAATTACAATTTCAGCCTCTTCCTATTTATATTAGTTAAAAGCCGGACTGCTTAAAGAATTTAAATCATCAATTTCTTTTTGTAAAACAGAAACACCATTTATCGAAAATCTGCTCTGAATTGTAAACTAAAAGAAAGGGGGGTAATCAGCTATTTTCTCAAAAAGAAAAAAGAAATCTTCCAGTCTATTTAAATTATTATTTTTTTAAATACAGCAAAGTAAATTTTTTATTGTAAATATTAAATTTAATTTACTAGCTTGAAATTAATACTAAAATAAAAGCTCCGAGAAAGATTTCCCCTTAAAAAGAAGAAAAAAAACTCTTTAATTTTTGTAAACCTTAGGTATCACAATTTTTGTGGAGGTGCTTAATTTAAATTGTTGAAAAATAAAAATTTATTTTATATGAGTATCCACTATAATAACGTTTGATGTAATTTATATATATATATATATATATATATATATATATATATATATATATATATATAATGTGTCTGTGTGTGTGTGTCGGATCATGAGCCGTTCTAAACTTCGTATAATTTCTTTATTCTGGTGTTCTTGGTCAAAGCTTTCGGCTCACATGTGCCATCTTCAGGGTGGTTATATGGACATTTAAACAAAGATATTCACCCTCAAAGATGATATTCTGCTATGTTGACATAGAATCTGTCTATATTTCTGATCGTCCGTTGCTTACAACACCGAGCAAAAGTCATAAGTGGTGACCCAGAGACGTTAGATAAAGAATTGGTAAGTATAAGTAGTAACCTACAACGTAACAACTACCCTGGGTACATGACAGCAGCCTCCACCCCTCCAAAAAAAAAAACTGGGATAGGCGGATACAAGAGGAGGAGGACAACAACACTCAGAAAACAGACTGACTGCCTTATGTAAAGGGGTTATCAGAGAAAATATAAAGGATCTGCTGTCCATATAACATCAGGACAACCTTCAAAAGCTTGACGACACTTCGCAGATATCTCTCCCGAGTAAGAACCCCCCCATAGAGGAGAACATGACTAAAGACAGTGTGTACGCTATCCCGTGCAGGTGCGGAAAAGAATATAAAGACAGATCAGATCCCCCCTCAAGGTAGGCTTCAAGAACACCAGAAAGCTGTAACGCAAGCGGAAAGTGGAAAATCAGGCATGTTTGACCAACATATGGAAAGAGAAGGAGATCACCGCCCCCTGTGGGATCAGGTTGAGATCATAGACAGGGAACACCATTGCAAAATTCGTAAACTTAAGGAATCTGCACATATGCTAGGCCACAAAAATCTCCTGAGCCGACCAAGCATAGAAATAAATACAATATGGGAACCAGTAATAAGGAGTGCCAGAGAAAAGCAATAATAACAAAAGTTGCAATATGAACTCTGGTAAAAATATGCGTGATAACGGCAAAAATTGCAATATGAGTACTTGTAAAAATGGTTGCTGAAGACATTAAGTTTATAATACCCAGAAATTCATACACAGATGTCCTCAAGGACAAATGGCACAGTGGATAAAGGCGTTGGTTAGATCCAAAGAGTGTGAGTTCAGGGTTAAGGCAGTGGAGAACTTTCAGAGGGAAAATTAACTAATAACTGACATCCATCAAACATGGCACGTGGAACTAGAACAGTCTACCCCAGTGAGCGAAATAAAGGATTCAGTTCGAAATTCCAACCACCTGAAGTCCGGAGCGTACAACGGCCGAAACGTTGTGATAAATATAGCGACAAAGATGAGGACAATAGTCCGAATAATGTAAATAAAGTTGACATAGAAGTTTTCTATGCGACGATAACGGTCGCGGAATAGCAGACGCAGGTCGTAAATGTCCGACAATTTTTGTCTTTATTTTCTCCCGAAATTAAAGCAGCCTACACGAGGTTTGGAACGGCACATGATCAAACATAACAGCCATTCATTGTCTGTTATACACCCTTGTGCAACTTAATTGAAACAAAAAAAAATATAATTATTAAAATTAAATTGAATTAAAGTATCAAGCCCTGTTTCATTCTCAAGCGAAAATTTAGGAATATTCGCTTGAGGATGAAACAGAAAAGACGTTTTAAAGAGAGGGATTAAAAAACTGTTTAAATGAGTGAGAAACAGATAAATATGAGTAAAACTTCTCTCTGTTAAATTTGAATCCCCACCTTCACCTTTAGGTCTTCCTTTTCTTCTTTCTTCTATTTCACTCCTCTCTACAGCTTTCATACATATCACTTTCAAATTTGTTTCCCACTTAGATAGATAGATAGATATGCAGACATAGATAGATAGATAGATAGATAGATAGATAGATAGATCTAAATAGACTTAGATAGATAGATATGGATAGATATGAGGGGAGATAGATAGATACATAGATAGACCTAAACAGATTAAGATAGATAGATCGATAGATAGATCGATCAAAATAGACAAGATAGATAGATAATGAACAGAATGAGATAGATAGATAGATAGATAGATAGATAGATAGATAGATGTGAACAGAATGAGATAGATAGATAGATAGATAGATTCTCACTAATATTTTGTCTTTTATATCGGGAGTTATATTTTCCGATTTCATTTTTGAATTTGTAGGTCTGAGGAATTGGATCGTGATTACGATTCCAACGTAATAAATTATAACCATGGAATATTAGTGTTTGAGCCTTTTTATTATATATATATATATATATATATATATATATATATATATATATATAAGCAAAATATGGATATAGATCCGACAGTATGAAGAAAAATATACAGAAAAAACAAACAAAAATCCTAATATGCAATTATGTTGTTTTACTGTTAATATAATGTCAACATCGGACCTGAATTTACTTTATAACATGGAAGACTTCAAGCTTATACGAAAAAAAGTCTTACTCTTATGTCCATCGTCTTTTCATGTTGAATTAAATATAGTCTAATGTTAATTATGTTTTATGAATATGTCCTGAAGATGGTCTATTAGACCGAAACGTCCGACGTTGACATTATATTAACATTAAAACAGCATAATTGCATATTAGGATTTTTGTTTGTTTTTCCGTATATTTTTCTTCATATATATATATATATATACATATATATATATATATATATATATATATATATATAAAAATATGGATATAGATCCGACAGTATGAAGAAAAATATACGGAAAAACAAACAAAAATCATATATACAATTATGCTGTTTTAATGTTAATATAAAACTTCCAGTTATCTGTTTGGATAAGTCTTGTCCTTCTGTCCATCGTCTTTGTCATGTTGAATTGATAATGTTAATTATATTTTATGAATATGTCCTGAAGATGGTTTATTAGACCGAAACGTCCGACGTTGACATTATATTAACATTAAAACAGCATAATTGCATATTATTTTTTTTGTTTGTTTTTCCGTATATTTTTCTTTCATATATATATATATATATATATATATATATATATATATATATATATATATAAAATGACAACACGAAAAAATGTAATTGCTGACGCGTTTCGTCCAATGTGAACTTTATCAAAGCAAATTTTTGTTTTCCATGTCGACAAATATGAAAACAGAAACTTGCTCGTTCTTCTTCTCCTCTTCCTCTTCCTTCTCCTCCTCCTTTTTCTCCTTCTTCTGCACCTCCTCCTCCTCCTTCTTCTTTTTATTCTTATTCGTCTCCTCCTTCTTAATCTTCTTCTTCTCTTTCTTCTCCTCGTTCTCATCCTTCTTTTTCTTCTTCAACATCCTCTCCTCCTTCTTCTCCTCCTCCTTCTCCTTTTTCTTCTTCCCCTTCTACTTCTTCATCTCCTCCTCCTCCTCCTCCTCTTTCTTTTCCGCCATTGTGTCTTTAATATTAGAATACTCATGGAAACCTACTGGACACTATTCGTAACATACTTATTGACAACACAAATATAAAAACGATCGGAAAGAGATAACAATTGGACATTTTTTATATAATTCATCCTCCGAAGAGGGAAAAATTATATGATCATGAGAAATTATATAAAGGAGCTAAATCAAAAACCTTGTCTGTCATATTCAATGAAACGTCAATGAAAAGAAGGATTGTTGTCTAAATACACGCATATATATATATATATATATATATATATATATATATATATATATATATTTATGAATAAAAATGACAATAGGAAAACTGGTAATTGCTGACGCGTTTCGTCCAATGTGGACTTTATCAAAGCAAAATACGAAAATGAAATTAATTGAACAAAGTAACTAATAAAAACAAAAACAGAATGTACCTAGCAACTGGAATGTAGAGAAACACGTCAGCAATTACCAGTTTTCCTATTGACATTTTTATTCATAAATATTATCTTCTCTCTTAAATCAGAGAAATTTTCATATATATATATATATATATATATATATATATATATATATATATATATATATATATATAGGTATAATTTTAATAATCAAGAAGAAAACCTTAAAGATTCATTTCGGTTATAATTTATTTCGCAGAAAATTATTAGCACACACGACAGCCAAATACTAAAAGCATCCCATGACCGCAAAACAGTAGAAAACAAACCCTTTTGTAACTGTAAAACCGGGACCAATAACCCAATCGGAGGTTCCTGTAATTTGGAAAATGTGGTATACCAAGCTAGCATTTTTTCCGAAGGAAAACATCAACAACGAAAAAACATACATAGGGATATCCACTGGAAATTGAAAACAGAGACTATACAATCACCGACATTTCTTCTCCAATGCTTGTTTGAGACACCAGACTGCTTTAACCAAGCATTTTTGGAAGACTAGCAGTAGAGCCCGGGGATGTAACAGTAAGAGATAGATCAAGTATCGACCATCATAAAGACTGAAAAATAAAATTGACAAAGATTATTGTTTAAGGTTGACGGACACACATGTCTTAATTAGTTTTATTTATTTTTTTGTTTTTTTTTCACGAATTGGTCAAACCCAAACTCCAACAAAAACATTGTTTTCAATCGTTATGAGTCTATCGATTGAATAGAATTTTATTATAAACAATTGTCTTGTAAATGGAATTTTTAAAGCATTCTGAATGTAAAAAATAAAGAAAAAAGTGTGCAAGACAATAAGAAACACTACCAAAAAAAAAGTGAAGTTTTGTTGAAATCGGTTGAAAATGTAGAAATCCGATCCCATATATAAACGAACACACACACACACACACACACGCACAAACAACCTGGGTTTTATAATAAGTATAACTCGATATGATTTGTCCCCCTTTCATTCTCGTGATGCCTCTTAATCGTGTTTTCAAATTAATTTCGTGCAAAAACAATTGTGTTTTTACAATTTTTGGTACTGTCAGAACCACCGCAAGGTAATTTTATGCAGTCCTGTGAAGTTTTGTTGAAATCGGTTGAAAAATGTTGGAAATCTGATCCAATATATAAACATACAGACACACACACATACAATCTGCATTTTATAATAAGTAAGATTAAAGATAATTGTTTTTTCACATTGTTTCACACCACTATTCAAATGGGAAATAATCTGTCGGTCTCAAGGCCCCAATAACTTCCGGGACAGATTTGTGCATACAAAAATATATATATATATATATATATATATATATATATATATATATATATATATATATATATATCCAAGTATATGATTGGTGTATACTGAATAAATTCCAATAACAATTACTATTATGAGTTCAAGAAAGGAAAGTCAGCAGCTGAAGCGGCTAGAAACATTCAATCAGTTTATGGAGAGGAATGTGTGAATGAAAGAACCTGCAGAAGATGGTTTGCAAAATTCAGAGGTGGAGATCTCACCCTTGAAGATGAAGATCGAACCGGACGTCCAGTTGAGTTTGATGAAAAGCTTCTTAAAGCAGCCCGTGAAAAAATCTTTGCTTTATCAGTTGAGGAATTGGCAGTGGTTCTCAGTTCAAACCATACAACTGTTCATCGTCATCTTGAACAACTTTGAAAAGTTCCTAAACTTGGAAAATGGGTGCCTCATGAATTGTCTGAAAACAACCTCAAATCCCAAGTTGACATCTGCTCTTCTCTCCATTCTCGCCAACTTGTTTCACCTTTTTTGGATAGACTTGTGACTAGCGACGAAAAATGGATCTTTTTTCGAAATGTTAAGCGTCGTAGACAGTGGCTTAGTAAAGGGGAAGGACCCCAGTCACAGCCGAGAAGGGAACTTCATGGGCAAAAGGTTCTTCTTTCAATCTGGTGGGATCGCCAAGGAATAATCCACTTTGAATTCTTACCACCTAATGCAACAATTAATGCTCAAATATACTGTCAGCAATTGGAGCGTTTGAACCAAGCTTTGAGGAAGAAAAGACCTGCTCTAGTGAATCGAAAAGAGGTGATGTTTCATCAGGACAATGCGCGACCCCACACAGCAAGAATCCCGTCACAAAAGATCGAAGAACTTGGTTGGGAGAAAATTCCTCATCCGCCTTATTCTCCCGATCTTGCTCTTTCAGACTACTATTTGTTTCGTAGCTTACATAATCATTTGGAAGAAACAGCTTTTGTAACACAGGAAGAGGTTAAAACTGACATTTGTGAGTTCTTCGAATCAAAGCTAAAAGAATTTTACAGTAATGGAATTAGTAAGCTTGTTAATAGATGGAAGGAAGTCATAGATAATCATGGAAAATACATTGTTGATTGAATCTGTAATTAAATGTAACATTTGGTCACTTGTTTTCTTTATTCAAAATTTGGACAGAGCTTATAGATGACCTGATATATATTTATATATATATATATATATATATATATATATATGTAAAACAAATCTAGTCTCGTTGACAAAACTCACCTTGCCGTGCGTCTCGAAAAGGACCTCCAATCGATTGTGAACTGGGGCATGAATTGGCTGGTCAACTTCAACGCTTCGAAGACAAAACTGCTCTCTATTAATCACCACAGAGCCTTCCTTCCCTCCATTAGAATGTCTGACACTCAACTTCTCGACAGCAACTCTCTGCGGCTGCTCGGTCTCACGTTGACTGCTGACCTGAGTCAATTGCTTCGTCCACTGCAAGGAAAGTTGGCTCCCTGAGCCGCGCTAGGAAGTTTTTCTCCCCGGAGTCGATCTTCCAGATCTACAAATCAACAATTCGCCCTTGCATGGAGTATTGCTGCCATATATGGTCTGGGGCCCCTTCTGTCTGCCTCAGGGTTCTTTGATAGGCTCCAGAGGCGGATATGCAATATGGTTGGCCCTGCCCTGGCGTCTCGTCTCGTCTCGTCTACAGTCACTTTCTCATAGACGCGCCGTCGCCTCCCTCTGTCTGTTCTACAAATACTTCCATGGAAATTGCTCCGAGGAGCTGCATTCGCTGGTTCCCAGACGTCACGAGTTCCAGCGCCTCACGAGGCTGGCATCCGCTCTCACCCCTTCACTGTCGAAACTCCTAAAATAGCCGTCTCTTCTACTCTAATAGCTTCATGTCTCCATTTTCTCGCCTGTGGAACTACCTTCCTTTTCCTGTTTCCCCGTGAGCTATAATCTCCAGCTATTCAAGTGTAATGTCAATCGACATCTCCAGTTGCCTTGATCTATCCACTACCCACATCCTTTCTTCTATCACTCCAATCTGATCTTGCTCTAAATTTTCTGTAACCCCTTGCGTCCTAGTGGCTTCCCGCCTTGCTTGGGGTGAAATGCTTAATATATATATAGATAGATAGATACTGCAACTCTTCTTTAAGCTGTTGAATGCTGCCATAATCCTTGCCTTCAGTTCATCTTTGTTGTTACAAGGAGTTTTGTTGGTCTCTTGCTCAACTGCGCCCCATACATAATAATCAAGGCGGTTGCAATCTAGGAATTTAGGCGGCCAAATGAAAGGTATGATGTGGTCGCAGAAGTTATCTGACAACCATGATTGGGTTCTCCTGTTAATGTGACGTGGTACCGAGTCCTCTTGCCAGACATCAGGTTTTCCAGGGAGTCACTCACTTGACCCAGGGTAGCACTATGTCCTCAATACCCTTGATGTAGGCCTCCGTGTTTAGTCTGATGCATAATGTCGCCGTCACTAGTGATCACTTCAAACACCTTCGTAATCACCATTAGACTCATCCAACTCCTTCTGAATCCTCTGCACTGTCTCCAGATCGACACCCAAACACACTGAAATGGTGCTTCCGACGCAAATGCCAAGCAGTACAGCATGCCGTTTCCAAATGTCCGGCGGACGGAATTGCATCATGTTGCACGTTTTCTCACAGACGGTGCCCAACTGACCCTACTATACTGTGCCGTCGACAAAATCAAAAACAACGCCCACGCGGGAAATTAAAAATATGAAATGGCGACAATATACCCATCGCATCTATTATATACACATATATATGACGTCACACATTATGAGATGGACAATTCCGACAATTATTTTAATACTGTTTATTATAAACAGAGTATTTACTTTAATATTTGTATCTATAAAAAGAATGTATAAACATAAAAATGTCTTAAAATTATTTGTGGAGCTTTGCCATTTCATGTGTGACGTCATTTGTTTATATTTGGATACGCTTCGAGCAGATATGAATGTACGTGAGATATTCATGGAAGACTGAAATTTAAAGACAGTAAATTCGACCGTGCTAACCGAACGCTCCTCTGTGGCCGAATCGGTTAAAGGCACGTCAGGCTAAATGACGGTTGCGTATAGGATACAGGTTCGAATCCTGTCGGAGAACGAATATTTTCTATGAAAATTTCTCGGACATTCAGGCCAGTAAATGTTATTAATACTGTTTTTTATTATAAAAACAGCATTTACTATAAAGAGAATGTATAAACATAAAACACATACACACACACACACACATATATATATATATATATATATATACATACATATATATACACATATATATGTAAATACACACACAAACACACACACACACACACACACACACATATATATATATATATATATATATATATATATATATATGCATGCATGCATATATATACATATATATATGTAAAAACACACACACACACACACACACATATATATATATATATATATATATATATATATATATATATATATACATACATATATATACATATATATGTAAATACACACAAACACACACATATATATAATAGTAATATCGGGCCACTCGTATTCGAGGATACCCGTCTACTCGGGTGGATAGCCAATCCTTAATTCAGACGCACGCTCAGGCACATATGTGTTTGTTCAACAGCCAAAGAGCCCACCTGTGGTTTATACTGCAACTATGCTAAGAAGAATTTAGTTACAGTTTCTGGGAGAGAGCGTGTTATCTAGCGTGATCAACAATTTGGACAAGGCCAGCACACTCAAACCCTCAGTCACGATGACTTGTGACTTCGTGCTAGCGCAACTATCGACGGCCCCCAAGTGTTCCGTTCCCCCAATTTCAGTCACAATGCTTGGATCAGCCTGTGGACTCTCCCGTCGGTTTCGACGTATAAGGATCTGACAGCTTAGTTGATTCAGTTATGAAATTTTGTGCGATAATCTTAAGTGGCATTTAAGACCCGCTAGTGATTTACAAAGTAGGCCACATATGGAGCAAGTGTGAAGATTGTGCGATGGGATCACTGCTAGATTGGCTGACCTTTTAGATCTTGCTCTCGCTTCTTGAAGATGATTCAGACAAGCAGATTGAAAACTGCTGAGTCCACTAAAACAATATATATATATATATATATATATATATATATATATATATATACGGATTGAAATAGGTAAATCAGGAAAGAACTATTTTCATTCGTAAAAGTGTGCACAATTCTTGAAATTCTGAAACCACTTCAATTAACTTCCGTTCGCAACCGCCATTACCCGCCTCTCACTATCGTGATCATCTATCACCCATTCTTAAAAACGACAATGTGGCTGGGACACTCTTTACTCTCGTCTTTTAAACCCACTTGTATTTTTCTCCTTCGACCGCCGTCTGTCCACTCATCACAGAAATGGGCCCTCGGGTCTTGAAGAAAATGAAAGAGTGACGACAACTTACGATCTTATCAAAATGACAAAGATAATAGCCATCATGACTTGTTTTCTTCTCCTCCACTCATGTTCTGTCTTTCTCTCTCTTTCCATATATATATATATATATTTCTGGTGAAATAAATTATTATAATGGTACCTTAAAGTGGTCTGTTTTAAATATTAGCTCTGGATTTACATTGAGCTCTCCGGATTTTCATCCTCCTTGGGATTATCCATACGGATTACCAAGTTCTTCATAACTTATATATATAATATATTAGTGTGTGGTAGGGATGTTTTAATTTCCGAATACGGTTAGCACATTGTGGCCTTGTTCGTAGTTAATATTGTTAGAGTTTTTTTTTTCTTTTTTATTATTAAAGCTTCCATTATTTTTAATCTTTTTGGAATCTTTAATAATAAAAAAGAAAAAGCCAATATATAAAAAAGCCAACTCGGAAATTAAAAACTTCGCCGTCGTTTTTTTTTTTTTTAACCCAGGTACTTTCGTTTTTTCTTATATCATTTTCAGGTGGAAATTACAATGACAAATGTAACCATGACAGTTATATATATATATATATATATATATATACAGTGTAACCCGTATATAAGAGAGTTGTCGGGACCGGAGAAGAAGTCTCTTATATCCGGGTTTCTCTTATATCCGGGTTGGGTCTAATTTATATACATTAACACAGGCTCTAATTTGGGACCAGAGAAAATCTCTCTTATATCTGGGTTTCTCTTATATCCGGGTCTCTTATATCCGGGTTACACTGTATATATTACATGAATCGTTCATACAAAAAGTAGATTAGTAAAGTTAATGCTATAAATGGAGAAAAACATCTTCGCAAACAAATTTATTAAAGTTACATTAACCCACGAACCTCTCGATGAATGTTATGATCCTTGTTTTTAATAACTTCAAGTTGTATAAGATCTTTTTTTTTTTATTTTGCTGGTACTTTCAGCTGTACTTACAACCATCCTCAGGCATGGAAATTAATTTGTTTTTTTAGTAAATCCAGGTAGTAGCGGGGCACGAAAGATTAGATGTTAATCGAAATATATATATATATTTTTTTAGAAATGTGTTATTGTTAACGGATAAGACATTTTGGAGCGTTCAGTCGCAACGCTAAGGTTGGATTTTTTTTTTAAATTTGAGTGCGTTTTTTTACTAATATGGTAATTTGTGAATTTTTTTTTTTTTGTAGGAGTGTTTCGGTCAACGTGGCATGAACTAAATTGTTTAATAAATAGAGTAATGTCGCAGATGTTATCCCGAAAATTAGCACGTCGGATCAATATATCAAATTGTAAGAGAACGAACAGTAAGATTGCAGCGTTCAGGGTACTAATCTAATCTTATTTTGCGTTTTATTTTTTATAGGAAATTTACCATCTACTTCTCCCTAAAAAAATTGGGATTGCATTATTCGAATTATTTGTCTCTTTGACAATACATTATCCCGAAATAATATGAGGGTTTAAAAAAAAAAAGATACTTAACATTCTATCTTGTACTTTAACTGCATCTAGCTGCAAATTATTATTTTCTATTATTTCTTACTTGAAATCCCTACCTAACCAACTTAGGAGACCGTTGAAATTCAAATTCTACATCCAAACGAAATTCTATGGCAAGATTTTATCTCCTCTTAGCGCTTATCACCTCATCCTCTTCCCATGGTCTCTTTCTTTCTTTTCCCTTCCTCCTTTTTTCCGTTTTCCCTTCCTTTTCATCCACCCACGACTATTTAATTCATTCGATTCCCTTCCATCTCTACACGCAAATTCTAGAAGACATTCTATGAAAATTTCCAAAGAACGGAAGTGGGGGATATTTGCTTCTATAACTGTATTTCTGAATAAAACATTTTTAGTCACACCATAATTCCCTACCTGAGGAGACTTCTAAAAAAGTTTTCCCCTTTTTTTGACGTTGAAACGAAAATGTGCAATTTTGTAGTGGATATGTGCATGTTCTAATGTAACACTGCATAATATATATATATATATATATATATATATATATATATATATATATATATATTGATTTTCTCCGTTATCAGCGTTCATCTATCGTATAACACCCTTGAGCGCTTAGCCTTGGAGCGGGTAGAGTGGAGATCAACGTGTTTTAGTAGAATCAGCAATTTTCCCTCTGCTTGTCTGAATCATCTTCAAGAAGCGAGAGCGAGATCTAAAAGGTCAGCCAATCTAAGAGTGATCTCATCGCACAATCCTCACACTTGCTCCATATGTGGCCTCCTTTGTAAATCACTAGCGGGTCTTAAATGCCACTTAAGATTATCGCACAAACTTTCATAACTGAATCAATAAGCTCTCAGATCCTCATACGTCGAAACCGACAGGAGAGTCCATTATATATATCTATATATATATATATATATATATATATTATGTATGAATTCAAGAAACGAATATAAGAACGAATATATATATATATATATATATATATATATATATATATATATAATTATTTATTTAAAATATGATTCCAAATCGCTACATAAGAGGTCTCATGTTTCAAACCAGTTCCTTCCTATTTTCTATATATTTTCCCACATATATATATATATATATATATATATATATATATATATATATATATATATATATATATATATAAATAAATTGTAGGTGATTATCGGTTTGGTTACATATACAGCACTATAAAAACACATAAACCTAACTATCCCTCTCCGTCCTATCATATCGCAAATTCCAACTCCTGTATATCATCTAATAAAATACATCAACCAACTTATTACTCCCTATCTTTCTAGTAAATATAGTGTTAAGTCAACATTAGAAGTAATCCAAATCCTAAAAAGTGAAAAACCTGACAATGAAATCATGGCTTCACTTGATGTTGAAAACTTTTTAACCAATGTCCCTGTTAGTGAAACTATTGACATAATCATAAGAAATATATACAGTAACTCATCTTTACCCCCACTTAAAATTAATCCTAATAATAAGAACAGTTCCGTGTTTTTAACATTTATTTGCCGAGTTGTCAACGCAGGACTGAAAGGGTTAAGTGATAGACTAACTAAAATTTGAATAAAATCCAATCTTTAAGTGATATTTGTCAGTGTCTAGGTGACTGAAATAACTCACATACTAACTGACTAATAATTCTGGGAAAGTGTTTTGGAGGGAAGCTTTTCAAATCAATCCCATGTTTGCGTCAAGTAAAGAACACCTCTTTCATGCCTTTCTGTATTGAAGAAGCTATCATGCAAATAAAGCAGCCAAATGGGCTTTAGGGCAACCTCCTGGTGAAACACCTGTTCTCGTACGATCGCCAAAGTTAAGCAACATGGATCCTGGTCAGTACCTAAATGGGTGACCGCTTGAAAATACCAGGTGCTGTAAGCTTAGATGTGCGGGGCCACGATAAATTCGCCGAAGAAGCAATCGATCCCACAACATGTCTTTTTAAAAAGATGGCTTGTCGCTGTTAGCCGAAACTACCATGGTAGGGGTATATTCATAAATGGAAGAGATTAAGGAAAGATTCACCCGTACGCCCTAAAGATAACGGCAGTTACTCTTTGATGAAAAGTGTTTCCTTTATTGGTTTGGCAGTATTTCCGAGGGTATCGCGATGCATACGACATTTGGGACTCAACGTGACAATTTCTAAGACGTTGTTCAAGCTTTCATGGATTTGTGTCGGCAGCGGTACAGGAACACGTCCATGTTTTTAACATTTATTTGTTGTGTTGTCCACCATTTTCCGTTGTCATAATGTTTAATTGTAATAAACATATATCTTGGTCTTATTGATTTTACGTCTTCCAGAGAATAGCAGTTTCTTTTACGCCGCTAAACACTTTGTGGCTTGACCACAGCTTTACCGGTGGTAGAGAAAAATGAGGTAATGCCCAGTCACCGGTTGAACGGTGGGTAAACACTTGTAACTATTTTTATATCTACCGTGAAACATGACATATTAATTATTTGCGAATTTTGACTCAGGAGCTGACGCAGAAGGCTTAAAATTGTTCAGGAGCGCAGGACTCAAAGGGTTAAGCGATGGATTAACTAAAATTTGAATAAAATCCAATCTTTGACTGATATTTGTCAGTGTCTAGTCTCACATACTAACTGACTAATAATGACTGTTCTAATAACTTGGACCGATTTTAATGTGAATTAAGTTTAAGCGTCTAATGATTTTTTTCTTTTAGATTTGGCGGACATTTGGGCGATATTATTTTTCACACATAATTGCCATGGCTTAAATAACATCATCCAATAGAGAAATAAATAAATTTTCACCAGTAACAGTGATTTATTTACTGCTGACTTTGATCCGTCTTAATGACACAGCCTTATATGTTTATTTATATCTCATTGACAAGTTGACTAATATATCTCATTTATTTTCAAAGTTTGTGAAAATATTTTCGAGGAAAACTTTTCAAATCAATCCCATGTTTGTTCCAAGTAAAGAACACCTCTTTCATGCCGTTCTCCGTTAACTTGAAGAAGCTATCATGCGATTCAGGAATCGGAGATCCGAGTTGTCTAGGTGAATAATCTATCTCATTTACTTTCAAATTCTGGGAAAATATTTTGGAGGGAAACTTTTCAAATCGACCCCAAATTTGACTCAAATAAAGAACACCTTTTCTATATTAATTTGAAGAGGTCATCATGTAAATAAGCAGCAAAATGGGGCTTACGGCCACCTCCCGGTGAAACAATCTCCGAAGTTAAGCACCATCCATCCTGCTCAGTACCTATATGAGTGACCGCTTGGGAAATCCAGGTGCTGTAAGCTTAGAGGGTGTTGTAATCTCTTGGAATTGTCAATTGGAGAGCCGACTTACGATTCCAGTTCATGGTGTTTACTTGCGTGCAATTACCCTTGGGAACGTTATGAATCTACTTCGTCTCCATCCCCCAGATATGGGTTAAATATTAAGACGTGTATCATTAAACTATTATTAGCTCCCCCAAAAATAAATGTAAATTTGCGAACAAAATATTTAGATTTTGGCATTAAGAGGTTGATATGCCGCTAAACAAATTAACCACAGAGGTTGATATGCCGCTAAACAAAAGTAACCAACAACAGCAAAATCCTTCAAAATCACAGATAACTGAGACCTTCTAGCATTTGCCCAGAAGCTTTTAATGCCATGTGTATAAAAAAGGTAGTAACAAATTTGTGCTTACGAACACATCATGTTGAAATACCGAAGTTAAGCAACTTAATCCTGGTCAGTACCTAAATGAGTGACCGCTAAGTAATACCTGATGCTGCAAGGTGGAGTAATGGATAATGCCCCCACCCCCACAAATGTTAATTCGAGAACTGAGTTCCAATTCCAGTTGGGTTCGTTATATTCACTTACGCGCAAATACTCTTGGGAAAGGTAAGAATTCATCTCTTCTCCCTCCATATATGGGTTAATTAGTAAGACTCTGAAAATAGGTGATTGTGCGGTAAGTTCAGCCTGGAAGTCATGTTGTTTCAGATGAATACGAAATCCTTTTGCGTATGAGTGATGGTAATCCTTCACATAAGCGGCGTAAAATAACCTGTCAAAGTTCTGCTTCACGTAAACGCTGTAAAATATTTTTTTATCAAAAATATCACCGTGGCTAAGAAAGTCGTAGAGAGAGAGAGAGAGAGAGAGAGAGAGAGAGAGAGAGAGAGAGAGAGAGAGAGGATGAGAGTGAGTAAAAATCGAAGAGAGAAAAGGAAAATGATAAAGGCAGGGAGAATGAGAATTAGAAAGAGGGAAAGAATGGCGTAGAGAGAGAAGGCGTAAGAAAAGCGTAGAGAGAGATTGAAAACAAAAATCTCAGCCATTGAATATTCGGTGGTTTTGAGCGGCGTTCGGAAAAGTGTTTCTTGGTTGATGTGCTGAAAGAGACGATTGTACGCTCTATTCAGCTTGGACGCAATATTGGCCAATTTGTGCTGGAATTCGCTGAAAGGACATGGCATATAAAAAGAAAATAGAAATAAACCCTGGTCCTGCATTAAAAAAAAAAGGTCAGGGCAGAGAGAGTCAAATGCAAACTGAAATGATTCCAAATAGGCTTAGCCTGAATTTTTCAAAAAGTATGTAATTTGGTATGTGAATCTGTTGTGTCTTGAAGATGAACTTGTCTGCGAACAAAGACGTTAAATAGTGGCATGTCAGAAGACACAGAGACTGAGAAGTTCTTGGCTGAGCTAGTTATAGACTACTCAGGCGATTTCTGTACCTACTTACCAACCGAATAAACCGCTTTTTATTGTTACATGTTATTTGGCGTTTGTCTTTACTAACCCCAAATCAACATCATAACAGAATCTTAGCCGTTTTTGTGATATATTTGACGTTTTTGACCAAAAAAAATAGTGCAATTTCGGGGAGAATCTAGCATATTCTTGGCCAGTTTTGTAGCAATTCTGTTTTTACTTTGTCAAAATCATAATCCAATGATTTTGTCCAATCAGAATTCAATTATAAGCCACTCAAAGTTAGAAAATTCATACTAGTTTTATTTCCTCAGTTAACCATAACAGATTTTATCTCATTTACTTATCAGGGTGATGTAGCATTTAAAAATATGCGGTCAGGATATGGGCAAGAAATAGCTAAGATTTTATTCAGATTTCCGTAACTTTAAAATATAAAATCATTTCTAGATATGCTAGAGACTTAATTTTCCCAGAATTTAAATGTAAGCTCTTTTTTTTTTTTTTTTTTTTTTTTTGTTTGTCAATTTACACTTCTGGACCCAGTGTGTGATGATGACCTTATCCATACTCGAAACGTCGATAAATCCTTCTCCGTAAATCCTTGAAAGGCATGCAGAATTTTCGCCAGTCAGTACAGGACAAAAAGATTTGAACAGGACTCATGAGAGATATTTACAGAATTGCTGTATTGTTTTAGAAATTAGATTCTAATTTAACCTTAGTTTTTTATCCTTATTTTAGGGTCCGAAGACGTCTATGTGGCCTTATGAGTGATGAATTATTTTTTCAGTATTTAAATGTAGATACATTTTTATAAACAAAGGTTTAAGTAAGAAATAACATTGCTAATTTCCACTTCTGAACACAGTGTGTGATGATGGCTTTATCCATACTCGAAACGTGGAAAAATCTTTCTCCGTAAATCCTTGGAAGGCATGCAAAACTTTCGCCAGTCAGCACAGAACAAACAGATTTGAACAAGACTCAAGAGATATTTACAAAATTTCTGTACTGTTTTAGAAATCAGATTCTAATTTAACCTTAGTTTTTTATTCTTTTTTTAGGGTCCGAAGACGTCTATGCGGCCTTGTGGGTGATTAATTATTTTTTGGTGTTCCTGTTATTTATTAGTAAATTTGCGTCCAGGTTCTTATAACATTTCACCATTCTTGGCAGATTTCTATTATTAACTTGTGGGATATTTAATAACAAAAGTTTCGGGGTCACAAAGAAAAACATTGTAAATTAAGTCGACTAGACCAGGGGTCTCCAACGTTTAAGAAAGATTTTCTCATCAGACTCCATCTTGCACATTTACAAATCTACCATTCATCCGTGCATTGAATACCGCTGCCATATCGGGTCTGGTGCTCCAGAGATTCTTGACGAAATCCAAACAAGGATCTGTAATGTCATCGATCCTGACTGTCTCCCCAAGGTGATGTTGCATCCTTTTGTCTTTTCTATAAATATTTTCATGGCAAGGCTTTCACGAGTTTCTTTCTCCTAGTGTCCCGACTACAGGAATTTAAGTGTGCTGCTAGATTGGCATTTAGGTCCCACCCGTTTACTGTTGAAATAGTTAAATCTATCCGCCATTTCTACTCTAACAGTTTCTTTTCTCGTACTTCCCGCCTGTGGAACTCCCTTCCGTTTCCTTGCTTCCCTGATAACTAAAATCTTTAAAAAAATTAAATGTAACGTCAATCGCCATCTTCTATCTTGACTCTGTGTTCACCTATGTCCTTTTCTCAGTCCTCCTTATACTCAGTCTTTTCTCTTACTTTAACTCCTTGTAACCCCTACACTTGCGTAACAGTGGCATTCCTGCCTTACATGGGATGAAATGATTTAAAAAAAAAAAAAAGAAAAAAAAAATTCTCCCCCAAACGGAACGTTAGAGACCTCTGGCTAGTCTATCGCTATTTCCATGGAAAATGTTCAGACGAACGACATTCTTTGATTACACTAATTCTAACGCACCCTAGCACGCAACGGACCTTGTAGTGAACCAGCCTCATTCCTTTTCTCTAATCTAAACCAGGCCCTCCTGTTACTTTCTGAAACTGGTATCAGCCGCCTCATGCGCAAAAGGTGAGTTCCCACTCCCGGGCTACTCACTTCTTATAGCCAAACATGACCCCCTAAATCGCCACGGCCACAAACTCTTAGCCAAAATCAAGCTTCCCAGTAGCAGGGACGCAAAAGACGAGGAACCCGTATATATGTGTTTATCCATTTCGTTTTTGCTTTCTACTGTCCTCAGGACGAAGGGACGGTGATCTTCGACGGAGTATCTGAGAAGATTGATAATATCCACACTAAATTCCCCTCGGCCAGCTTTCATATCTGCGGTGACTTCAATGTCCACCATAAAGATTGGCTAAGTCCACTCCAATAAAAACCGATGATGAAGGCGGATATTGGAGAGACTTCCTCCATCGACTATGAATTAACCGAGATTATCGGTGAACCTCTCCGGGACAACGGGACGTCAGGTGAACCCCTTAGAACTCTTCTTAACTTATCAAAAGTTTTAACTCCACTATGCACTTGGCACATTACAGAGAGAGAGAGAGAGAGAGAGAGAGAGAGAGAGAGAGAGAGAGGGCAGAGGAGATGAGAATGACAAAGGCAGAGAGAAAGAAAGGCGTAGAGAGAGAATAAGAATGAAAAGACAGAGAGAATTAGAGAGAGAAAAAGAGAGAAAGAAAGGCGTAGAGAGAGAATGAGAATAAGAAAGGCAGAGAGAATTAGGGAGAGAGAGAGAAAGGCGTAGAGAGAAAGAGAATGACAATGAAAAGACAGAGAGAATTAGAGAGAGAAAAAGAGAGAAAGAAAGGCGTAGAGAGAGAATGAGAATGAAAAGACAGAGAGAATTAGAGAGAGAAAAAGAGAGAAAGAAAGGCGTAGAGAGAGAATGAGAATAAGAAAGGCAGAGAGAATTAGAGAGAGAGAAAGAAAGGCGTAGACAGAGAGAGAGAATGACAATGAAAAGACAGAGAGAATTAGAGAGAGAAAAAGAGAGAAAGAAAGACGTAGAGAGAGAATGAGAATGAGAAAAACAGAGAGCATTAGAGAGAGAAAGAAAGGCGTAGAGAGAGAGAATGAGAATGAAAAGACAGAGAGAATTAGAGAGAGAGAGAGAAATAAGGGCGTAGAGAGAGAATTAGAAAAAGAAAGGCAGAGAAAATTAGACAGAGAGAAAGAGGGAAAAAAGGCGTAGAGATAGAATGAGAATGAAAAGACTGAGAGAGAATTACAGAGTGAGTGAGAAAGGAAGACGTAGAGAGAGAGAGAGAGAGTGAGAATGAAAAGACAGAGAGAATTAGAGAGAGAGAGAAAGAAAAGCGTAGAGAGAGAATGAAAATAAGAAAGGCAAAGAGAATTAGAGAGAGAGATAGAGAAAGAGATAGAGAAAGAAATGCGTAGATAGAAAGAGAATGAGAATGAAAAAGACAGAAAGAATTAGAGA